TGCTGGGACCCCAGGCCTTGGAGATCTGATGAGGCTAAGGCTGCACGAACACCCACCGGAGGCACATAGGTTTGCATATAATTTCCGGTTAAAATCTTCCCAGCCTGGAAACCCCATTCCCTCCACTCCTGAACTCACTTCCACCCTCATCCCAGAACCACCTGCCTTGAACCAGGGGAAGGAGGTGAGCCAAAGAGAAGGCTTCCCTTACTCACTGCCTGAGGATTCCAACAGCTCAGAGAACGGACAAGAAAGGAGCCAGGGCCTGGGAGTGACCGGAAATGACAACCAACCAAGGAGCCAAGAAGAAGGAGCCAGTGAGTCAAGGACATCCGGCAGCTTCCCTTGTTTGCAGGGCCCTTCCTGGAAATGTGTGTTTCCCGGAGCCCGCTAGCCACCCTCACAGAAGGAAGAGCCAGGGGAGGCAGGAAGCAGGGCAGGTCAGGTGTCCCGCACCTGGGAGAGGTGGTCCTGCCCCACAGCAGGGCTCCTCCCCATCCCCATCTCAGAAGGAAGCAGGCTGCACGTGAAATCAGATCAGAGGGGCTTTGATTGGTCTCACCCCACCTCTCCTAAGAGCTTGGCGCTCGGTGGTGGTGTGGGGAGTAAAGTGACATTTTGGGTCCCGGCTCCCCACAGAGCCCGTTGCACCCGGGAAGCTGAGCACGGAGCTGCATGATGGGTGGGCACGCTTACGTGTGGTGGAACACAGGCACCCCATGTCTGCGAGGTGTGAGGAGACGTCGGCATACCCAGCAACACCCTGGCTATCACTCCCCAAGCTCAAACAGCACACAGTATCCGCCCAGGGCGCGTACCTGGGGACGCCTAATCCAAAAGGCTCCAGGGAGCTTTTTCTAAATTCCAGCATCCCTCAGATTATCTGTAGCGGAGGTGGGGGGAAAGGATCCTCCAAGCCACTGAAGCCCAGGCATAGACTCTGCCCTCCCGTTACAGCCCACTCCGGCAGTGGTTCTGGAAGCCTGGCCCAGGCTTCTTCCTGATCTCAGTATTTCTGCCTTGGTCACCTTTCAGCTTTTGGTGACGCAGGATGGAGAAGCCTGGCTTCTCTCAGGCAGGACTTCAGCTACTTCTGATTCCAGTTTGACAAGGATGGTAAGGCAGAGAAAAGAGAAACACCCCCCTTTCCTTCCAGGTTAAGGGTAAGAGATAACTCAGGAATCTGAGAGACCCTGGGTGCCACCAGCAACAAATAACACACGCGGCCTCCTCTGCGCCTGCACAACCCTCCTGAGAGGCATCTGCACACTGTGCTGCTGGCCCGAGGTTCCTCCTGGGCTCCTTGGGACTCACTAGCCCTCTAGCATTTGACCAAGGCTTGAACTCCATCCTGGGGGAAGGAGGGAAAAGACATTCTAAGGAGAGAGTTGTACCAAGTGGAACCCAAGGGCAGAAGCGTGTAGAGCACAGAGGAAAGAGGGGCACTGTCACTTCTGGGGAGATTCAAAGCTGGGGTCTCAGACCAAGTTCAGTGACTGCACAGGCACAGGTGGTGAAGGGGGAGAGCGGAGACTCCTGCAGGGAACTGGAGGCTGCTCCAGCTGTCCTCACCGGCACCATCAAGGCCAAGGCTAAGGGTGGGGACAAGCACTGAGGTGCCTTGGGGTCTTCCCCTGAGAAGCACTCTTGTTTTTCAGAGGTACCAGCCCCGGGATGACGGAAGGACAAACACCAGCATGCACTCACAACACCCTCCCAGAAACTCTCACCTGAGCCCCAAAGGGAGACCCCTCCTCAGCTTGGGAGGTGGGTGTTCTAGGCAAAGGAGGGCTTCAGATGCCCGCACTGCCACTCTGGCAGGGAGCCAGAGCTTCGAGCTGGGGGAGACACGGGGGTTCGTAAGCTGGAAGCAAGAGGTTCCGAAGGAAGTGCATTTAAGCAGGGGCTTCAGGGGCCTGGTGAGCGGGAAGGCGGGGAAACTACTGGCTAAACTTCCTCCAAAAAGACTGGAAGCACAAAGGGCTGTGCCCCCCATCACTTGGAGTCCCTCCCTAACTACTGTCCAGGTTCCTGTCCAGAGAAGGCTGGCACGGGCCCAGCCCTCCAGGAGCACCTCACAGTAGTGGCCAGAGTTGGTGGTTGGAACATTCCATCAGACTACCCCTTGAAGTGCCCCTCGCTCTGGGACTTGGTCCCTTTCCCCAAGGCCCAGGTAAAGCCTCCAGTGCATAGGTCAGAGGACCTAGGCGAAGCTCAGGTCAGCCCTGCTCCCAGGGAGAGATTGCTCAACCCGCTCTCCACCCCCAGCCTTATCTCTGGCATCAACCCAGCTCTCCTGTTCCTTGGAGGGACAGACTCCTCCCTCCCCACACAGGGACAAGCGCCTCTGAGTCTGTGAGACCGAGTCTGTGGGATGTCCAGCCAGGGCAGGGTGGAGGTGACACCCCCAGAAATTCTCAACACAATGGCTTCAGACCCTTCTGCTCTCAACCCAAATTGGGGGTGGATGTGGGAAGGGAGAGATAAAGAAGCGAGAGGGCCATATCAAACACCTTAACTGTCACAGCTGGGAACAGCTTGTCCTGGACACAGAAATCAATCAACAACTAACTCCAAAGGTGGAGGGGGCTGGAAACTCCGAGGCCTTCGGCAGAAGCCCTGACGTGGTCCTCTCCCGGGTCAACATTTGCTCACCTCTTACCCCCTGCCTTAAAAAGAGTTGAGACCTATTTTGGTTGTCACTTCCTGGTCTCCAGACTGGGAGCCCGGACTGCCAGTTCCGAGGCAAGAGGACAGAAGCAGGTTGGGTACACACTTTGGAATGGGGCAAACACTGGTGGGTGGGCATGTCTGAAAAAGACATGGGGTGAGGGGGAAAGTGGGTTGACAGAAAGTGGAAGAAAGCCTCGGGGCAAAGGTGCCAACCACACGGCACAGGTCCTCGGTGAGCAGGGACCCTGTGAACTGTGGGAACCATAAGAGCGGTTGAGAGTCACCCAAAAACCACAACTTGGGAGCAGGCTCACTTTGTCTCATCACACGGGCCCCTCCCTAGTCCCTGCAGGGTCACCAGGATCTCTGGGAAAACCAGAGAAGCCTCGGTATCCCCAGGGTTCCCCACTGTGGGAAGAAGCAGCAGTCCTCAAGGAGTGGAGGGGCAAAGTCCAAGTTCAGAGATAAACCAGCTAATCAGTCAGTCACATGGGTGGCTCACACCAGGCAGCTGATGCCAGCGGGTCCCACACGACCCCGGCAGGGATGTTACCGCCCAGGATCCCACTGGAAGCTACATTATTGCCTCAGGGCCCTGGGGTAGCCTGGGCCCCCTGGCTCCGCTCCAGCAACCCCCCCATTTCTAGAAGAAACCCGCAGCTCAGCTCCCCCGTTCTTTGTGCCCTGTTCTTTGTTCTCTTAAAATTCAGTCCATCCTGCCGGTGGTCCCCTCCTCCACCCCAGCCTCAGAAAGGGGGCGGGGGCTGCTGCAGAGTTATTAGAAACCCAGACTGTGCAAAGAAGTTGCGCTGCGGGAGGCCCCTGCCCCCGGCCCCTCCTTATTTACACTCCCGCGGCAGGACAGATGGTTGCTGGGGGTAAGGATGGAGACAGTCTCCCTCTAGCACCCTAACCCTCTAGAGAGGGTAGGGGGCTTCGCAGCAAAGGGACCCCCCAAGGACTCCCCATTCAACAGCTTGGCCACCTGGGCACCTTGGACCCAGCGAGGGAAGTGGGAGCCCAGCAGATTATAAGGGGTGGGGGTGTTGGAGGGGGAGAAGTTCTCCGACGAGCAAAGAGAAAGCACTGTATTTCCCCTCCATTCTCCCAGGGAGAAAAGGAAAACTTCCAAAGCCCAGGCCGCAGCTCTCAGACAAACACCAGGAACCTGGTTTGAGTTAGCAGAGAGCACCCCTCCCCCTCAGCCAGCCTCAGTGCGCTCGCTCTGCTCCCTCTCCCCCTCGCTCACTCGCTCTCTTTCTCTCTCTCTCACACACACACTCCTCTCCCAGGAAGCGGCGCCAAATCAAGCGCAGCCCTCCAGCCCGGGCTCCCGCCTAGCGCTCGCGACCGGGCCCCCACTCACCCGCGGCCGCGGGGGGCAGTTTTGTTCCTCCGGCTGGGGGCGCTCCAGGGAGGGGGCGGAGCCTGAGACCGCGATCCAGGGCTCCACCGCCCCAAGCAGGTGGTTAAAACCTTAACCAGTCGCGAGCGCCGTGCTCCAGGAGCACCCGGCTGCGGGGTCCGCGCGAAGCCGTCTCCCCGATCCAAAGAGGGCCCCAGCTCGGCCGGGCCCCACCCCTTCTAGGAGCCCTGGCCTCTCACGGCCTTGGCCTCCAAGTCCTGGGAGGCGGCGGGCGGGCGGGGCTGGGGCCTGGCGGGGCGGAGGAAGGGCTCGCGGGAGGCGGGGGAGAGAATTTGTTCCCTGGGCCGTTCCCTTCCAGGCAGCTCCTTCCCTCGGTTCTCCCCAGCCCGGTGACACTGGGCGGCGTGTACTGCAGTGTGAGTACGCGAGCGCGTGTACACGCCTGTGCCACTCCAGGCCAAGAATTCGGTTCTTATTCATGGAGAACTCGGCGCGCACACGCCCCCCTCGGGGAGACCGCGAGCTGCGCGCCGCCGATTGTTGTGCTCCTGCCCACAGCGACACACACCCCATTCCTGGGCAAGAGGGTGGACCTTAGAAACCTGCCCCTCACCCCTCCCTGAGCAGCGCCCTTCGCCAGACCCGGGAGTCTCAGTCTGGGGAGAGGAAATTGAGTCCCCGCGACGCGGCGCCGGGCTCTCCGCCACCCCCGGCTCCCCAAACCCCACTCTTCTGGAACGCGGTGAGCGGCTCCGATTCCCAGCAGCGGAGCAGCCCCGCCGCCTCCCCACCCGCAGCCCGCCTCTCCCGGGCGGACGCCGAAGACCGAGGGTCTCTGCGTCCTTCTCCCCAAGCAACGGCCCCTTTCCCGGCTCTTTCAATGCTCTCCGCCCCTTAGTGGGGCTCGAGCCCAGCAGGGCCTTGCGCGGCTGTCAAGGCCAGAGGGGTGTGCGTCGCCTACCTTGGTCCCCAGAGCCCCGGGAGTGGGGTTGGCGCGGCTGTGCGCTCCCCTCGGTGGGCTCCGCTGGGCAGCCGGGCTGGCGGCCCATGTCAGCCCCGGCGCTGGTTTCCCTCGGGCTCTCGGGCTCTCGGGGCTGGGAGCAGCGCGGACACTCCCCTTCCAGGCTCCTCCCGCGCCCTCCCTCTGGCGCCCCTCGGCGCTGATGTCACAGCTCTGCCGCAGCCAATGGCCGTCGGAGCTTCGGGCCCGGCCGCTCCGCCTCTTCTGTTCAAATCTGAAAGCCTGAGACTTTCACAGTTCCATGTGGGGTATCCTGGGCGGGCCGAGCTCCGGAGCCCCCCCACCTTTCTGCGCTCCAGCCTCGAACCCTCACTTGGGATCCCCAGGGTCGGGAACACGTCTTCTTCCGAGGGCCAGTGCGAGGCCTTCCGAAGGTTCTTCCCCATTTTGAACAATGGCAAGAAGCCAGAAACCCCAGCAGGGGTGGCGTTTTTTGCTCCCGCTCCCTCGGGGACCCGCTACCCACCTCCTGGCCCCCGGCCTGGCGGGCGCCGGCAGGCGGTGGATTCCGTCCCAGACTCTTACTGGAAACTGCGGACGGGGGGAGCGGCCGGCCCGAGGCCAGGCCCGGACTGGATGTACGAAGGGTTTCGGGCGGATGACCCATCTGTGATCCCTGTGAGGCCCTAGTGTCCGGGCTCTGCCTCCCAAATATCCACTGAGGCTAACCCTTGCTCCAGGGAAACGTTAAAGAGGACGCCGGAGTTCTAACCCGAATCCTATGAGAAAGCAGGCTTTGGGCTCTTTTTAGGAGCATAGTTTCTAGTTATGAATGATCATTACCAAAGTAATAAAGGCGTCCGGTGAAGTATTCAACAGAAGGAAGGCAAAGCCAACACAAAGTGAAAGTTCCTTTGCCATTAACAGTTCAAAGGAAGTGGGGGGTGGACGCGCCCGGGCTCCCTTCCCCCAGCTGGCCACTGGTCCCTCGTCCCCTCTCTGGCTTCCTCTGGAAACACCGCCTTCTCACGACTGCACTTCTCCCTTTTCTTCTGCCACTTGAGAACAACCAGCTCGGGCAATCTAAAGGCACAGTCACCCCTTCCTGCAGTGAGAATCGCCTCCCAAACTAGGCTGGGGTTGCAGCTCTGTGGTAGAGACATTGTTCAGCAAGCAACGAGTTCAATCCCCAGCACCACCAGCAGCAACAAGTATCAATACTAGACATTGGGACTAGAAAGCAAGTTCAGAGCAAGTTGGGAGCCAGAAAACATGGGTTCCAAGCCTGACAGGGTTATCTCCCTGGTCTGGTCCCCCTTTGTATCCAAGGAGCAGAGATCCCTCTTCTCTCCCAGCCTGTCCTGGAGGTTGTCAAGATGAGATATTAGGTGTGGGAGGACTTTTAAAGCAACCTGCAAATGGAGTAGCTGGTCTTTATGACCTGGGGTGGAGGGACGGTGACCCAGCTCTGGAAGAGGCTGGTTGGAAGGAAGACTTGGCAGCCACTGTGGCTTGGAATTCCAGCTGTGCCTTGTACCAGCAGGTGAGTTCCACACCAGCTTCCACCTCTGTAAAATGGGAACAGCAACCCTGTCTTCCCTGTTCCAGTGAGTACTTGATGAGATCCCCTAAAGAAAGTACCTGTGGTCAGCGGGGCACACGCAGGCCCTCCATGGTCCTTTCCACTGGGACATCCCCAGCTAACCCTAACCCTAACCCTAATCCCTACTCCTGGAGTTCCAGGACCTTTTCCTCCAAATTTCAACATGCCTTACCTGTTCCAAAAAAAAAAAACTTTGCTGTGTTTTATTTTTTTTCCTGAGACATCTCCCTCTCTCATCTCTTTCCTTCTTTGTTAAATATTATTATTATTATTATTATTATTCTGGGGATTGAACTCAGGGACACTCAACCACTGAGCCACATCCTCTGCCCTATTTTGTATTTAAGTTAGAGTCAGGATCTCACTGAGTTGATTAGCACTCAGGCTGGCTTTGAACTCCTGATCCTCCTGCCTCAGCCTCCCAAGCCGCTAGGATTACAGGCCACGGTGCCTGGGGCTCTCAGTGATTTGTCCTCACTGTCCCCCCCACCCCCCCGAATTTTTTCTTTAAAACCAACCCACCCCAGGAGCCAGCTGTCCACCCACATTTGAGAAAGGGGGCAACTTGTTTTTTCCTAATGCATGGGAACATAGTCACTGTGCTACAGGAGATCTTGGGGAAAGACCATTTGTCCCTAGGTCTCCTGGATTGTTATTCAGCGCACGTGTCAGTACACCTGAAAGGTCCGCAGCCTTTTGGTCTTGGTTCTGGCCTTGACCTTCTCCTGCTTCTTATCACTACTGACTTTCCCTTTTTCACCTGGTGTCTTGGGTTTGGCTTCCCAGCTGAGTTCCTATCAATTCAATTTAGCTCCAGGACAAAGCCTTCAGGCCCCTGTGTAATTCCTCCACCCCTATTCAAACCCAGTCTCCTTCCACAAACATTTAAGGTCAATGGAGGCTTGTCTTTGAGGACTAAGACAATAGAGCCCAATCCCTGCCCTCAGGGTGCCCACTGTACACCAGGCTGCCTGGGGGAGCTCCGCAGCTGGTCTAGACTGCCTCCTCGCACACACCCCAGGGGGAATCCGACAAAAAGAAAAGTGCTAATTTTCCCCAATCCAAAACCTGTGGATTTCTCTCCTAGAATCACTGAAGGTTAGTTTGCCCCAACCTTTTAGGTTAGTGCAGTCTATGGCTACTCAGAGGAAATTAACAAAACAAAGGAACGGAGGCCTGAATACCTACCTTGAAATATCTGGCAAGCTCTAAGCCACAGACTTTGGAGAGGGATTTGACGTCTTAACTGCACCTTTGGTGTAACTTGACCTATAAGCTTTTAGGCCTGGGCGTGTGTCTCTGCCTGTCACAGGCTGCTGGGGCCTGCCTTTGGGACTTGGGCATGAGAGATCCATGCAGCTGCATAGGGCCTGTCCCCTCCCACTAGCCCCAACCCGTATCTCCCAGGGTTTGTTAGCCTTGGCTCCTGGGCCCCACCCCTAAGAAGGTTGGCTAGGTGATTAAGCGCACTTCTTTACAGAAAAGTTGGAAGGCCACCTTCCTTCTGGTGTAATGTGTACTGTAAAGTGGGACTCTAAGCAGGTCATTTCCCATTTTTTTCTTCCTTTCTTTGCAGTGCTGGGGAACAAACTCAGGGCCTCACACATGCTGGGCAAGCATCCCACCACTGAGTCACACCCCCAGCCCCCATTGACCTTCCTGAAAAGAGCTGATGTCCAGGACCCTTCCTGTGAGAAGGCTCCCATGACTTTTCCATCACTAGTCCGAGTCTCCACTCCTGCTACGGGGATGAGGCTGAGATGGTTCTGGAATGGGCATCTCAGGGGGCCCCCAGGCCCCATGTCAGCGGTTTGGAGGTAGAGACTTGGTGACCCAAGTCTGGGGCCGTGGCTCAGGGACCTGGCCCTGGCTAATCCACACCCTTGCCTTCAAGGCGGAGGCTTTTTTTCCACTCCTCGGTTCCCTGTCCTTGGGAACCACCTGGAGCCCTTCCACAGGACTGGGATGACCTCTGCTGAGCAACTGGGAAGATCCCAAGGATACCAAGCCCCAGGCACTCTGCCTGGGGCTCTGGGCAAGGCCTGCCCCCTCCCCAGCCCACCCCCTGTGGCAGAAAGTACCCACTCCCAGAGGCCCCTTGGAGGCAGGATGGTGTCCGATTTGCACTGGACTCTTCAGTGGAGACAACACGCAGTACAGGTGCCTGAAGAATGACGGGCAGGGTCCGGAGCCCACCTCCCTCCTGTATTCTGTTTGCAACCTGAGCCTCAGACGGAGCTCTGTCCCGAATGCAGCACCCTAGAGCTTGCAGCGCAGATGGGCCTGGAGGTCATGGAGGCCACTTGCTATCTCAGAAGACCCTTGGCCTCGAGAGATGCTGTTTCCAGACCTCCAAAGCCCAGAGCTTCACCCACCAGTGACCCCTGGGAAAAGTGGGAGAGCCCCGCCCTGCTCCTCAGCAGAGGCCTCCTCCTGGTGCTGCAGGGGTCTGTAAGTGCAGAATGGGAACATAGGCCAGTGATCCTGGGTTTGAATCCTGACTGTCATTGTATGACCTGAGGGAAGTCACTTGCATTCCCCCCGCCTTGGGCCTAGTTTCCTCATGTATTTAACGGGGACCACATAGGTACCTACCTCATAGCATTGGTGTAAATGGGCAATGCAGGTCAGAACCAGGACAGAGCTAGGGTCACACCGAGGGCTCACCCCATGGATGCCAGCCAGTCTCAAAGCCAAGGGCCCAAGTTAAAGCTTCTGGAGCAAGTTTGGTCCCTAGTGTCCACCTTGCACAGAACCTGCCCAACCCTGTTGGTGCTTCCCAGAATTGAGCTAACAGAAAAACATGAATGGCATTATCTGCAGGCGGCAGAAGCAGGCCTGCTGTGTGTGTGCACTCTGCTGGACTCTGAGTCTCATGTATGCGAGACAAGCGCTCTACCAGTGAGCAACATCCCCAGCACTGAGGCCTGGGCTTCTGATAAGGTCTCCAGTGGGCTTCCCCAGATGGCCTCACCTGATTTCCTTGTCTCTTTGCAGGGGTGTCTCTTACAGAACAGGCTCTGGTAGCCAGATACCTTCCTGGCCTCCGGATGGAGAGGAAGGCCAGGGACTTAAGAAGAAGAAAGCAATTCTGTTTGTACTTAGAAGAGAAGGGCCTTTCTTCTCCCAGCTCTGAGGCTTAGTGACTCTGATAAGAAGCACTTAGGAAAGCCAGGCTGCCTATGGAAGGTTTTATTTATTTATTGAGTCCTTTACTGGATGTTAGAGCTTCTTCATCTCAAACTGTAGAGTAGTTGCTGACATTATCCCTACTTCTCAGATTCCCAAGAGAAGACTGAGTCACCTACCCAAGATTCCCAGCTGGTTAATGCAGAGCCCCGGTCCGGAAAGCCTAGGCAGCCAGGTTCTCGCGGTAAAACCACCAGACAGCAGGAAAGAAGACTCCAGACGAAGCTCGGGTGATCTTGTCACTGTACTGAGCATGGCGGGCAAGGGGAGGTTGCCAGGGAGACCCAGCATCATCTTTACCAAGCTGGCAGACTCTTATCTGCCC